CAAGTCTGCGCCGCTGTCATCGGTCAGTACAGTGCCCAGATTGGTCAGTTAAGGTCGTACTTGGACTCGCAGGCGCGAGGAAACGATCAGCTGCGGCTGGAGAATCAAGCATTGCGGGGAACAATCTCACAATTGCACAATGATATCCAGCAGCTACGCAGCAGGATCTTTGACTACGAACGAGATGCACAGCAAGCATCTGCGTGGAATCGTACCCAGCAGCAGATTATCGACGCACAGCGACAGCTCGTAGCTAGTCTCGAGCATGATCTAGCTGAGGCGAGGAGTGACACACCTACACAAACATCAACATCGACGCAGACGGAGAGCAACTATGCACCCGCCGTTGAGCAGTCTTACAGCGAGTTAGGCTTAGAGCCTGTCAAGGAAGCGGCGGAGGGCAGCGGATGGGAGGACAGCGGGGAGTCGTAGCAGGCGGAGCATAAATACACGCCCGGACTCGCCACTCTCACCTCGCCGATTGCCCTCTTTTAGCTTTTACCCTAGACTACGCTGGTTGTTGGCTCGCACAAATACATTATAATTTCAAGTCCCAACGTTGGATGCTCGTGTGGCGATGCGGTTGTCAGTTCGCCGGACTCACGACCAGCAATTCCCTCCTGCCCGCTCGTACATGGACTGGGCCTGGCAGAAGCTTCGTAAGAAGCGCTCCCCCGATGGCCATCCCCCTTCGCCTGGGTCGATGGACATCCAGATTCAAGCCTTGCGGGGGTTCTCAACCGCGTGCGACTTGACACCAGAAGAAACACAAGCAAAGAAAGCTCCCATTTCTATGGAAGAGCGTATCATTGAGCTGACCCGGGAGAACGGGTCCATGCGTCAGGAGATTGCCTTTTTCCGGGGGCTAGTAGATGCGCTCCAACCATTGCTGCCTGTCATCCAATACCACGTCGACGAGCTCAACTCGGCGATACGCCTCGCAAACGACCGGATTGGCGAAGCCAATGCTCAATGGGATGCCGAAGTAGGGACCGAGCGGCCCATTGGCGGCACTTGAAACTTGCAGTCTTGCGAGCAAAGCAGGTGTGAATGGGCACGGATTTGGCTGGCGTGTTTGAAAGCTACTGGCAGGTTGCTATGAGAACGCCAAGAGGGATATAGAAGTGCGTTGATTGCAAAGCGCACACAGATGCAGGGATAAACAGAATCAGTGCACATCGGTTAGCCGATGCGTACCCAGCCGCACCGAGTCCACGCAAGGGACATTTGAAGATGTAAATCCGCAGAAGCTATATCATGGACCACGCATCCCTGGCCGTTTGCTGACACGGAGTTTTCCGCTGATTGACTGGCACCGACTTCACAGCTACGGCGGCCGCCAAATGGTCGCTCTGTGACTGTGTAGTACCCTCCGTACCCAAATGTAAACGCCTTTCTTTAGTGGCGGTGACTGGACTTGGCTGCGAGACAGCGAACCCACCAACAGCAATGGCTACTGTAGCAACCTGGGTCTCTACCTACAGCAATATCTGACACCTCGAATGCTGTATTGTCTGTGCTGTGTTCCGACGCGGTCCGATGAGACGTGGTAGTCGACACACTCACGCAATGGTATTGCAGTACAGTAACCCAAAACCAAGACCGTAAACAATGTGGCCGACAAGTACATGGTCGTAGCCGCAGAGTCAATTACGGCACAGGTGAGCGTCTCGCTATGCTCCTGAAGACCTCCTAGCAGCCATTGAATGTACATAACGCATGTATGTATGACGCTTGTTAGGCTCCTCTGTGGGCTGTCAGGACAACTGGGAGTCGAATGACTCTGCATGGCCTCAGGTCGGTTGGTGTGGGCGAGTGAGAGCAGATTTGATCCTCCCATGCGAGATGAAAGACTCTGACAGGGGTGATGCAGGACGCGCAATAGCCCTGTCGCCATTATCCCTGAGCACACCACCCCTGGGCGAGCGCGACTTTCTGAGCACACCACTGTCCGAGCAGACCACCTTCTGTGAGAACACCACCTTCTACACGCCATATTCTGGCAGCACCACCTTCTTCGATCGCCACTTTCTGAGGACACCGCATTCCTAAAACGCCACGGTTTGAGCACACCACCTTCCTCATGCAACACCCCCTCCCCCACCCCCCGGGCGAGGGGCTAAACTCCCCCTCTATTGCGACGCTGTATTGCATCACGTTTCGGACCACGACGTTCATGTTGAAGCACTCTCTTAGAGGAGCCACTACAGTACATGTCCCACCTAGAGCAAGCTCGCGGGGCAATGCGCGATGTCGCCGGCATGCGCTGCATGTCCCCTCTGCCGCGATCTTGGACGTTACGTATTTCTCCCCTGCAAAAGTTGTCCGTAAATCGAGGCCAGCCCTTGCAAGACCGGGACTTGTCTTCTCCTCGTGCCATGAGACTCGGATTTGCCACCTTGATTGCGTCCCTCGCAAGCAATACCGCTGCTGTCGCGAAGGATACGCGTACTTTTGCCGTCCTCCGCTTCACCAACAAACAGCTCACCATTGGTCGTGCCGATCCCATCGTCACTCCGGGCCGGCCCTCACCCCATCTGCACCATGTGTTTGGCGGCAGCGCGTTC